TCAGGCCCTCTCAGGGAAGGCAGAAAAGGAAAAGGTCATTTTAATGTAGTAAGTTCTACTACTGCTAGAAAGTAAGGTCACTGTATGAGGACAACTGCATAAATCTGCTACAGTACATTAGTGATGGAAACCTTAGTAATATTATCAAATAAATGAGTTAAAATTGCAAGGTAAGGCCATGGCTATCTAAGATAAACAAGCAGAACATGACCATGGACTGAGAAGTAAAGTGCCTTTTCATTACTCCAAGTAAATCCTAATTATTGTTAGAATGACAAACTGGACAGAATATTTATACATATGTAGTGTTAATGGGTTTCCAAACCATGATACCAACACCACTTCTTTGGATATTTTTGGTTTTGCCTTGATTAAAACAAGAGTACTGCCAACTTGCTACAGTAAGATAAAAAACAAAAACCAAACATATTATCATTTTAATAGTTATACTGCTGTGGATGATGAGCTCAAGATGCCAAGGAACTGAAACAGAAAATAGCACAAACTGGCATAAAACATGATGATAAAGAAGCACTGGCTGTGACTAAATAAACCCTAATTTTGTCCCTTCTTTATCAAAAAAAAACCCCTAAATTATGACTTTTTTTGGCCAACTAGAAAGAGGAGGAGGTAATAGTGAATGCCAAAGCAAAATGATTTTAACAGGAGCTGAATTAGTATCCTTAATCAAAATTGAACAGGGATAATGGAGGGCGGGGACTGACAGGATAAGAGTCAGGAAACTACAGGAGGTTAGTAAAGTTAGTTTAGCAACACTAAAGAACCCAGAAAAGGAAAAGGGACACCTCTCCTTATTTAGCCATGTGTCTCAAATAGCATTCCAAGAGAATTATGCTAGCAAACTGGTACTCCTAACACCAGCATTCATTTAAAGCAAACTTACCACGCAGCATAACTGCTCAGAAACTACCAAGGAACTGTAAGGCACTTTTCAGCTGGCTTATGATGCATTCCAGAGACTGTCAGGTACAGCGCTCCCCCGACCTCCACCCCAAAATTATCTGCTTTGGGCAGCTGGAAGAAAGACATAGTAGAAATTGGAACAGAAAGACTGGGTAAGGTATATGAGGAAAAGCTGCTGGGACACAGTAGACTGTGGAGACAGAAGCACAAGTTGGTGTAGGAGTCTGCACAAGTTGGTGTAGGAGTCTGCAGCTGAGAGACTCTCCACGCCTCACCTCCCTACAACCCTTCAGTGACCTGGAGAAGCTACACAGGATGGGTAGTAACCCATAGAACTTTGGGGTGGTATCCTGACAGGTGGGGAATGGTAAACCTGACAAGTAAAATAGACAGCTAGGCAACAGGTCTTAAATACTCCCATGGAACCTTAGGTACACAAAGTCTTGCACACCTGATTGATTCCCCAAACATCAGAGAAAAGGGTGTCATTTCCAGGCGGAGGCTAAGATGTTTGGCTCACACTGGGGAACTCTGTCAGAAAGTGGACTTTGGTAACAGGAATTCTCCTGAGGTTGGACACACTGACTTAACTTGTTTGAATTATGGAGATTAGTAGTCCTCTCCCCTACTTCTGAAGAATACAAAAGATAACCCAAGGGGTGGGAGAAAGAGAATCGTCCCAAATAGGAAGAAATATTGATGAAGGTCACAAATTGTGTACTTTGTTTTAGCGCCTATTTTTATTTTTCCTATTTTAGTATATATTTTGATGATTGTTGTGTTTTAACTTGTATCTCACTAAAAGTCTTTTATGTCTGTTCTTTCTCTACAATATTTTGCATACTACTTCTCATACCTCTAGCCCCATTTATTTTCCTACTTAGTCTTACTTTAACCCCTTTTTCTCCCTTTCCTAGTTCCTTCTCATTTCACTACTTAAATACTGATTAAAAAAAAAAAAATCCCTGTAAACTACATTTCACCAACCAGTACCCTGTGAACCGTGAAGGGGACACAAGTGACATACACAAGCACCTCCTCCAGCAACTGCAAGTTAACACCCAGGGCTGTCAAATCATTGTATTTGTTACTGTACTACTCAGCTTCTCCAGGAACTACAAGGAAACATATATGAAAACAGTCAGGCCACCAGAAGGATTCATGTAAAATAAACAGAAAGAGGGAAAAGGGAGAAAGAAATAAAACTGGAGCCCTCCACCCAAGAGATGTGCAAATTGTAACAAAAAAATGACCCAAGAAATCACTATGACACCTCTACATGCTCATGACTCCTCAATACTGGAAACAAAAGATAAAAGAGATAGTTAAAATGTCAGAAAAAGATTTCAGACTCCTACTTCTAAAATACCCAAGGACCACACAGAAGGGGACCAAACACAAATTCCAGAAATGAAAGAAGCTAATCAGTGAGGCAAAACAAAATAAAACTGTAAAACAAACAAAAGGTCATGGAAAAGCAGCAGCAGCAGACAAGACCAAGCAGAAAAAAAGAATCTCAAGGATGGAAGATAAGGCTAAAGCAATAATAGATTCAGACATACGTACAGAAAAAGTTAGCAAGATCAAAACTTCCAAGAAGTCTGAGATATAGTCATGACACAAAGCTAAGAATCAATGCAGCAGAAGCAGCAGCTGATGTAAAGTCTATTAGGAAAAGACAAAGGTAAGAAATAATATAAAAAATTGAGACCCGATGCTATTCTTACAGGGCTCCCCCTCCCCCTCACTTTCTTTTTTTCCTTTACAAAGTCAGGAAAGCATGAAATGATGAAATGTCAACCAAAACTGCTATACCCAGCAAGTTTATTTCTTAAAATTGATGGAGAAATAACAATTTTCAGAGTAAGCATAAAATTAAGGCATTTCCTGACAATCAAGTCAACACTGCCAGAAAATACTGAAAGGAATACTATATACAGAAGAAGACAGTCCTATTCACAAGAGCACAGACTTAAATTTGAGAGAAAAAGAGATAAACAAAGGAGACCCAGGAAGAAATCCAGCATGCCCAACAGGGAAGAAAAGAAATGATGTATCCATAATCCATCCGGCCAGAAGCACCACCCTTAGAAGTATAGGAAATAGCAAACCATCTGAATAACACCTTTATTCCTCAACTCATCACTAAAAAGGCAGACTAACTGCCTTTAAATAAAACGCACATCTACCTGTTTTCTCCAAGAAACATACTTCACTGGCAAAAATGCCCAAAAGCTAAGAGTCAAAGGTTGGATGTCAATAGATCAAGCAAATGGAAGCTTAAAACAAGTTGATACATATCTGATAAAGTAGACTTTAAACAAAACCTAGTCAGAAGAGATAAAGAACATTACACATTAATGAGGGAATAAGCCATCGAGAAGGTACAAAAATTAAAAATATTCATGCACTAAATGTTGGAGCTCCCGGTCTCATAAAATAAGTGACAAAGGGCCTGAAAGGTCATGAAAAGTTAGGTCCTGATACAATTAACAGTGGGAGATTCCAATATCCCACTATGGTTTTTACACAGGTCTTCCAAACACCACTCTCATTTTAACATAAAAGCTTCAGGCTTGATTTTTAATCTGAAGACTTTAGTTATATCACATCACAAATCCCCTGGATTGATAGATATCTACCAAAAACAGCTCTCTATAGAATATTCCATGTAACAGGTAAAGGAATAAGCACTCTTCTCAGTAGTTCATCAGACCACTTCCAAAATAAGTCTTATCAGCTCATAGGACAATAAAATAAAACAGCATGAGAAACCACAGAACCTTTACAAATACTAAGAGATGACACAATGATCACTGAAGAAATCAGAAAAGGAAAAAATTCCTAGAATCAAATGAATATGGCATCACTTAAGGGACGCAGCTAGGACAGCTCTAAGAGTAATGTTCTAAGCTGTAAGAGGTCAGATTAAAAGAATCAGAGCTCACAAACAACCTAACGAAGCAACTCAATGTTCTAGAAGAGCCAAACTAACGCAGTAGGTGACAAGAAATAACAAAATTGAGAAAGACATTAATGGAATAGACTAAAAGAACATCACATAGAATCAACCAAGAGGTTAGTTCTTTGAAAATATAAACAATATTGACAAACTCCAAATTAAATGAACGAAAAGAACAAAAAAGTGCAAATTAATAAAGTTCACGATCAAAAAGGAGTTGCTACAACAGACTACAGTGAAATCTAGAGGATCTTTAGGAAATACTTTTACAACTTATGTTCCAATCATCTGGGAGGCCTAGAGAAAAAAAAAGATAAATTCTTGAATACATACTGTCTTCTATAACTAAATCACATGAAGATCACAGGTCATGAAAATAGAAAGAGGACTACTGGCTGTTCCTGCAGAAGGCCCCAATACCCACATGGTGGCTAACAATGATCCATAACTCCAGTTCCAGGGAATCTGACTCCCACTTCTGACCTCTGCATGTACTGTACACACGGGAGAACTTACACCCATGCAGGCAAAACACTCATGCACATTAAGAAAATAAATAAATGAAATAAAGTTTCATACCAAAGTTTTCTTTCCATAAGGCTAACTGGCTGATGACCACCCTGTAAATATCTCTATTTTCTATACTTAATTATGAAACAAAATTTGCATATATCAAAGGGAGTTTTCTGGTACACCAAAATGATGACTTGAGAGAACCATCAACGATTTTTAAAGCATAACTTAAGACAACTGAAACTTAATTTCAACAAAGACAGCTAAATTGGCCCTAAGTGTTAAATAGTTCCTAGACACTTAAAATCAGTTCCACTGTCCCCATATTTTCACTGGCAACTACCTTTCCTCTAAGCACATCATACATCAAATATCCAAGTTCTCACTAAAATAGTCAATACTTGGTTTAAAAGAAATGGCTCTCAATAAGCTATCATAACCAGGAATATGGGCATTCTTATATTCATTGCTACAGAGTACTTACCAATCCTCTATTAGCCTCTTAAAGGCTAACATCCAAATAAAAACACTACTTCAACAATGCTTTGTATTTCCTATATGGTGTATATAAAGCTGAAAGACACAGTTCAGTAATACTTACAGTCAACATTGGAGTTGTCAACAGGCCCCAGGCAAAGAATTCAAGGAAGATGACAATAGCAGCATGGTAAACACTTGGTCGGCCAAAACCCTGTAGCTGGAAAGAAAGCAAGTTGTTATGAAAAGCAGTAAAGAGACAAGTCATTATCATGAAATGGTATGGAGAAATACTACACAAACTTTGGACCACCTATATTCATTCTTGGGGCCAGGGACACAGTTCTGTGGTAGATGATATAGATCATATCAACATACTTGAGGTTGTAGTGTATCCTTAGCACCTCAAAAGAAAAAAAGAAAAATAAGCAAGTAAATTCCTAATCCCTGATTCCCGTGCCTTCTGTAATCAAGGAAGATGTTAAATTAAACTCACTTTATTTGTTCTATCAATGTAGTCTGGGTAAGAAATCAACTGGGTCCTCAAGTGAATTTGATTCTAGGACCTATTCATCCTAATTATGGATTGCTCAGCCATAAATTGTATAGGCCTGAAATATTCTTAGCTACATAATTTCCTTATCAACATAATCAGAGATGGGCATGAGGGTCACATGCTCAAAAGCCTCAAGGGACAGTACATAATAGGGGGATTTCAATGCTTTGAATATGAAATACCTCCTCCAACAGGCTCATGTGTTGAAGGCTTGACTTACAGCTGGTAATGCAATGAGGTTGTAGAAACCTTGTAAGATGAGCATAGGTGGGAAAAGTAGGTCTTGGTGACATGTTGCTGGGGGTCTGTATCTTTTCCTACACCCTTCTCTGTTCTTCTCTGATCCCCACCTAGAATGAGGCAATCCGCCTTGCTCTACCGAGTCTATGAAGCTCCCTCTGGCATTAGGCTCACAGTAACACCCCCAGCAGACTACGGACTGAAACCTTTGAAATCATGAATCAAAATAACTTTTGCTACTTTAAACTGTTTGTAGTCATCACTGCAAAACAAAACAAAAACACTGAATAACACAGGAATCAGTAAGGGTCAAGTCAAATCTGAAAATACATACATGTGAAAGCATCAAATTGTGCAGTTTTTTTTAATGTGTATGAGTGTTATGCCTGCATATGTGTAAGTGTACCCGTGTCGTGCAGTGCACAAGAAGTACAGAAGAGGGCAGGCATCAGATACTCTGGAACTAGAGTTACAGATGGTTTTTAGTCACTATGTGGGTGCTGGAATCAAACCCGGGTCTTCTGCAAGAACAGCTAGTGTTCTTAACCGCTGAGCCATCTCTCCAGCCCCCAAAATTTTGTACTTTTAAGACTGCCTAATTTGCTAATTTTCCAGTTTGTGATTTCCCAAGATGAAATCTAAAATTCTTTACAGTGTAATGTGTTTTGATTCTGTGGCAATATTTATTGCATAATCAAATTTCTGTTAGTAGTTTGTAGTAAATAGAAATAACACTTAGAAAAGGCTTTATGAATTCACACTATTTCCATGCTTATATTTGCAGATCTTCAAAGGCACAACTGAATGGTTTATATAGGATCTAATCATAGAGTAAATAGACAAATGCAGATCGTAGCAGTCATCAGGACAATTGCCCTGATCTCCTTAATTGCCAATGCCTTAGATAATAAGTAAAGGCAAGGACAATGTTCCACATTAAAGGAGACTAGAGGGCCAGGGGATGTAGCTCAGTGGCTAAGAACACTTGTCTAAGGGCTGGAGAGATGGCTCAGCAGTTAAGAGCACTGGCTGGTTTTGCAGAAGACCCAGGTTCAGTTCCCAGCACTCATATGGGGGCTAACAAGCATCTGCAACTCCAGTTCTGGGGATTGGATGCCTTCTTCTGGCCTCCACAGGCACTACAAGCATGGGTGCACTTACATATATGCAGGAAACATACTACACATTTAAAAATAATTTTTAAGAACACTTGTCTAGTTATTTCATAGGTGTAAAGCCCAGCAAACAAGAACCACTCGAGTACCTAAGACAAAAAATCAAAATGATTCAATATATCAGAAAAAGTTCTCCACAGTCCTTTACCAAAAATGGAAATTATAAATGAAGTGCATTCAGCCTCTGCTTGTGACAAGGATGTCTGAGACCTATGCTCCTCCTTATTCTGCATCTTTCCAGCTCTAGAAGTCAGATTCTCCTCATACCCAACCCACTCCTCTCTTGGTAGCTGATTCTCTCTCCTCATTCCAATAATCTTGCCTCTTGTCTATGTCACCAAGTAATTTTCTAAATAGACCCTTGCTTCCACTCTTGCTCCTCAGATCACTGTCATGTAGCCATAGAATGAACCTAAATATACATAAGACCCTGTTACTCCGCTGATCCCGCTGCTGTAGCAACATCATTCAAGTCCCTACCATTGGCTCCTGTTATGCTCTGTCATTTTTAGAGGATGTCAAACAAATTTATGACTTGTTTCTATTTATTATCCACCTTTCCTGGAATGGAAATACCCTCAAAGAGAAAGTGTTGTACCTGTTTTGCTCAGTCATCCATTCCAAACAGCTATTCTCTAGACATCAGTACTCAACAAACATTAGTGATATGAATGGGAATGCAGAGCATATAACCCTGGTTCGGAGCACCTTGCTTGGTATTTAAGTTTAACAGTACCTCAGGCTAAAGAACAGCTACCAAGTTTAGTCTTGGTGGGTTAATAGAGCTGTCTATGTATGCACTGACTATGATTTTTGGTAGCATCTATCTCATGGATCATTTGGGTATTTAAATAAGAATTTGATCAAGAATTTAAAAAATAAAAATAAAAAGGCCTTTTAGAACCAACCCGCTAACTGACACTGACCAGCAAAACATCCTGAGGACTTTGGCTTGTATCTCTGGCTTACCATGTCCTGAAATAGAATAGAATAGTTGGCCTTTTTTGCTGGGATGGATAGATAGGGTAGCTTTCAAAGCCGCATCTAATAAAGGGCAAGTGTTAGCTTAGTGTGTATTAATGTCAGCCATATACATCCATGGCCATCATGCAACTGATGTATAATTTAAAATTCTAATTGTAAACTTCAGGCTTACAGAAAGACATGGGCATAGCAGTTCAATTCTGAGTTTGCCTAGGTATAATAGCATAAATAATTCACTTGACACTACCTGTGGTATATTATCTGAAGGCAGTGGGGTTTAGATGTGAGACCCAACCAGAATGTTCACTGTAAATTGTTTTTTCCCCATGCCACAGAGCTCACTAACTTCTGGTGCAGTTGTGTTCCTGTTTGAAAATATTTGCTGCATGTTTGTCTAAAATAAAAAGCCTTCAATCTTTAAAAATCATATTGTTAGCATGGGACTAATTATTTTCTGGACTAATTATTTTCCTTTTCTGTAAAACAATGAGTAAATTAAAGGTCTTAACTATCTGGAAAATGATAATTTTTTGAGACAATGATGGAGATTTGAAAATGGACTGGGTATTAGCTGATACTGGAGAATTCTACTCACCATGACAGAGGTATTAGCATTAGACTTTTAAGTCTTTATCTCTCAGAGACACATGTTAATGTATTTAAGTGTGAAACAAGAGGTTTTGTGGAATCTGCTTTAGAAAGGTATAGCAAAGAAATAATAAATAAAAACAAGATGTAGGAAGAGTATCATAGATGAAAGGATGCAAAGTGGCAGTTCACAGAGACGAGTGTGACCCAGACTACCTGGAGAGGTCACTGCATTTTTCTGAGTATGAAAACATGTGCATTTTCAATATAAAAAGCCTTCATTTTTTTTTAAGTTGAGAAGATCAATGACAATAACAACATAAAAAATTATTGTATATATAGGTTTAACTTCTGCTCTGTACAACATATAATTTCTTTGGCATTCCTAGTCCTTCAAAACCAGCATTTATTAAAGCACTTCTGAGAAACTTCCAGTGACTTTTAGGCATTTCATCTTCATTGAAAAAAAGTATATCCAAAGAAACTGAAATTTACAGAGGTGCACGCCTGTAATCCAGGTACTTGGGAAGCTGAGACATAGGATTATGAGTTTAAGGCATAGTGAGACTGTGTCTCAAACAATAAAAATAAAACAAAATTCCAAACTCTCAGATTAAATATACCGTGGTGGTTTGAATAAGCATCCCCCATAGGCTCTAAGTATTTGAACACTTGGTCAGTTGGTGACACTATTTGAGGAAGATCATGGAACCTTCAGGAGGTATGGCCTTGCAGGATGAAGCATGTCACTGGGGACAGGCCTAGAGAGCTCACAGCATTGTTCTACTTCAAGTTTGTTTCTCCTTCTTGTGCATGTTTGAAGATAGGAGCACTAGGGTTCATGCTCCAGCTGCCTCCTGCCGTGCCTTCCCCACCATGATGAACTCTCATCCATCTGGAACCAGAAGCCCCAAAGCTCTTCCATCTCTAAGCTGCCTTTGTTGTAGAATTTTAGCACAGCAACAGAAAAGTAGCTAATACACACAGTACAGTCTGTGTCCATATATCTTTTTAGCTATCTATTATGCTATTTTAACACCTCAAAAAATACAACTATTTTGTGTTTACTAACACTGTACACTTAGACATTATCAATTAGGACTTATTTAAATCTCTCCTAAAATGCAAGCATATTTTTGGTATGTGTTTCTTTTCCTTTTCCTTTTCTTTTTTTAGTTTTTTTTGAGACAGTGTCTCCCTGTAGCCACAGCTGGCCTGAAACTATGTAGATCAGGCTGGCCTTAATCTCAGAGATCCGCCTGCCTCCATCTCCTGAGTGCCAGGATTAAAGGCATGTATAACCATGCCTGGTTTTGTTATTTCTTAATATAATTCTTAATATAATTTTTATTAATTCTTTGAGATTTCACACATGCACACAATATATTTTGATCATATTATTCATCTACCACTCCTCTCCCTAACTCCTTCCAGATCTACCCTCAGGCCCTACCCCCCTCCTACTTCATGTCCTTTCTTAAAATAATATAACCCACTGAGTCCAATTTGTACTGCTGATATGCTCATGGGTGTGGGGCCATCCAGTGGAATGTGGTCAACCCAGGAGTCACACCCTTAAAGAAACCTGACTCTCTCTCCACAGAAAGATTACATCAATTACATCTCTGACCTCAGTTAAGCTTTTCTGGGTCAGCTGTCTACTCTAAGGACTTTTCC